TATAGTACTTAGAAAGATTTATACCATTATGTAGGTCCTTCGGATTCGGGCGTTTTCTCAAACCTTACCTGTAGTAATTGTATGTGGTTTACATAAAAAAAAAAAAACAACAACAACAACAACAAAGTTATCTCCCAAAAGAGGGTGGTCACGAACTCCCTAGACCCCCTTAGCTACGCTCCTGTGCTAATTTATTTATTATTATAATTTAATGGCGATACTGATAACATGGTCTGAAAGAGAAGAAAATTAGTAAGAAATACATACAAGGAATTAAAAGGACACAAGGATGGTCAGCAAGAGAGACTAAGTCTTCATACTAGGCAGACCACCTAATAAAAAGAAAAAGAGATATAAAAAATTCCAAACAACTAAATTGGATTAAATATTCAGTCTTGAAGTTAAATAATCCCTTACTCCCTTTTTAAAGCCGGAGATGCTAGAAGCATTACGAGTTGACAGTGGCAACATGTTCCACATGTCAACTATCCAATTAAAATAGTTATACTTAAAAATATCAGTCCTAGCATAATGTTTCTTCAAAGTCAGATCATCCCTTCCTCTCAAGATGTATCTGTCTAAATGTGAATAAAATTCGATAAAAGAGGATGCTTCTATATTAATATACCCATTAAGGACTTTATAAAAAAAAACAATACATCAATCAAGAAACGCCTGTCCTCCAACGATAACAAGTTTAGTTTTTCTTTGCGAATTTGATAGTCCTCATCAGTTTTTAGGATAAACTTGGAAGCTCTTCGCTGAATCCTTTCCAATTTGTTAATGTTTCTAGTTGTAAAAGGTGACCAGTCAATAGAATAGTGCAATATTCTAGTTGGGACCTTACCAAGGCACAGTACAAAGTTATTTGAGTGTTAACATCTTTCAGACCTTTACGTTGTTTTAATAAGGCCAAGAATTTTGTTAGCCTTGCTACATAACTTATCAACGTGGGCATTCCAGGACAGCTTGTTACAAGTTACTAGACCGTCACAGAATTCGGACGTTTCTTAATTCCAGAGAGCTCCCATTCAACTTAAGCCGGTCAAAATGAAAAGGCATACTATTACTTCGTGATACGGAACAATTTACACTTCTTTACATTGAAGTCCATCAGATTTCGCTGACTCCAAATACATAGGTTATCCAAGTCAGATTGAAAATCTTGTTCACCTGATGGACAGGTTACCACTCTAGATATTTTACAATCGTCTGCATACAATGCAATTGTGTTCCCGGGCATAACCACTTCAGGCAAATCGCTGATGAATATCACAAAAAAATAATGGCCCTAGTAAGGAATTAACCCTGTGGCACACCAGATGGAATGACAGGCCAGGTAGAACCTTGTCCATCTATGACAACTCTTTCCTCTCATGATTGCTCAAGTAATTCTCACACCATTTAAGTAAGGTACCAGAGATTCCAAAATTACACAGCTTCTGCAGGAGTAGATCATGTGATACTCTGTCAAATGCCTTCGAAAAGTCTAATACACGACATCCGCCTGCAATCCATCATCCAACGCTTTTGTCCACTGATAGCGTGTTAAAACCAACTGGGTGGCACATGAGCGACCCCTTATGAAATCATGTTGCCAATCTGTCAGGTATGGGACCATATGGGAATATATGGCATTATGTACAATCTTCTCTTGACATTTACTTGGAATGGATAGCAGTGAAATAGGTCGATAGTTCCGTCAACTATAATAAAAAATCAGCCGCCAGTAACCAAAATCGTAAATCAACTACCACTGTCCAAAATCAAAGATCAGGCGCTAGCGTCAAAAATAAAAATCAGCCAATGATAGCAAAAGTCCCAAAACATTTTTTCCCATTTCGGCAACAAATGGCCGTTTTCTCATTTTAAGTAATAGTGGCCAATATGGGATTCTAACAGCTAGTAACCTTTTTTTCATTTTAACCACAAAAGGCCGTTTCACCATTTTGGCTGCCTGTGACCCTTTCGCCATTTTGGCCACTAGTACCCGTTTTTCCAATATGGCCATTAGTTGCATATTTGTGAAGATAATAAAAGCAATTTTAATATAATAGAAAAAATCCGAGCCCCAGATTTACAATTTTGGACACCAATAGCTGACTCACCATTTTGGCCACTAGTGGCCGTTTTGCCATTTTGGCCAATAGTGGCCGTTTTGTCATTTTGGCCACTAGTGGCCGTTTTGCCATTTTGGCCACTGGTGGCCGTTTAGCCATTTTAGCCACTAGTGGTTGTTTTCCCAATTTCGCCACAAGTGTCCATTTTGCCATTTAGACCATTAGTGGCCGTTCTCCCAATTTGGCCACTATTGGCCGTTTTGCCAATTTGGCCACTAGTGGCCATTTTACAAATTTGGCCACTAGTGGCCGTTTTCCCATTTTGGCCACTAGTGGCCATTTTACCATTTTGGCCACTAGTGGCCGTTTAGCCATTTTGGCCGCCACTAGTGGCCATTCTGCCAATTTGTACTGCAAACAAATTGACTCTAAATTCATCTGAAACTGAATTCATGTTAATTGGATCGCGGCAAAGGATAGGTACTTACGATACTTCCCCTAAACTAATCATAGGCGGTGACATAATTAAACAAGTTAGCTTGGTTAAATCTCTGGGTGTGCATAGAGACGAAAACCTTTCATGGAATATGCACATTGAAAAAAATAGCCAAGAAAATTGCATTGGGCATTGGAGCATTTAAACGTTGTAGGCCTTATGTGAACCGAACCACGATGGAGTCAGTTTTCAATGCCTTAGTTTAACCGTACTTTAGTTACTGCAGCGAGGTCTGGGGGCATAGTAACAAAGGTCTTTCGAATAAGCTCCAAAAGTTGCAAAACCGGGCTGCCCGTATTCTGACCTTCTCCAGTTATGACACAAGCGCTGATCCTCTTTTTGAGCAACTTAACTGGAGACGGTTAGATACTCGATCAGCGACAAATACAAGTGGCCACCATGGTCTATAAATCTATACATGGTCTTGTGCCCAACTATCTTGGTTCTCTTTTCACTAAATATGATCCTCCTTATAATCTAAGGAACTCTGAAAACAAACTAGCTGTTCCATTGCCCCGCACCAATTTCCTGGAAAATAGCTTGAGCTATAACGGTGCGGTTATCTGGAACAGCTTGTCCCCTGAATTGCGGCAAGTAAAATCACTTCAATCTTTTCGAAATGGTTGTCGCGATTTCTTCGTCTGAATCGACAAAACGCACACGGCATCTCTGTAAAGCAGAATTTCATTACTTTTTCTATTTTACTTTTAAATTTTGCTTTATGTTTGTATAGATTACAGTAGAATGAAATTGTAATAATACATTATAATAATATTATTATTTTATCTGATAGATTTACCGTGTCTAAATAAAAATAAAGTTCAAGTTCAAGTTCAAGTTGTCCACTAGTGGCCGTTTTGCC